TCAGTCAAGCTCACACAAAAAGGTTGGGTCAGGCTCAGAATTCGACATGCCCACAAACTTTTGGCTCGAGTTGTTCCGCATGGCCGCCTTTACCCTCTTGGCGCTTGTAAAAGTTGGGTCGAAAACCAACGTCCATGCGCCTTCACTGAGGACCTTATGGAGTGTTCCGGCCGGAAGGGGTTTGGTCAAATGGTCGGCAAGCTGTTGGTCACTATGCACCCAGCGAGCCTTGGTTCCTAGCTTTGCCAAGGATTCAAGCAGGCAAAGCACCTCCAATGCGGAATATTTATCACGCAACCCTGCCGCGGCCGAATTGAGATCACTCTTCAACAAAATGTCAAAAAGTGCTTTTGCATCTGTGACAACTGTTCCGGGGATTTGCGAGATTGCCTTCTCGCTGGCTTTCAAATCAACTTCAAAAGCACAAAACTCTGCCCAGGCTAGTCGCACAAAAAGGAGCTCTTGATCTGCCTCGCTCATAGCCTGGGTCTCTGCTGCCAAGCTGCTTCTGGCCTTTCGAGCTAAGCGGCTGGAACGCCAAGAGACTAGCGTCAAAGGAGCACGCTCACCAAGCAACATCTTCTCCGAAGTAGCCGCTATGAGGAATCCTCCAGTAGAGCTGAGGTCGATGCGATTTGCGAGAGCTGCGTCGCTCCATGCCACGAAGTGAACCGATCGGGGATCCTCCACACCCAGCTGATTAATTCGTGCCGACAAGTAGCGATGCTGGAAGTTCTCACGAATCAGCTTGTTGGTGGCCTTGATGGTCTCAATGTTGGCTTTGGTGATGGAGCTCTGCAGCTGACCCAGTCGGGCCATCAGGTGAGGCGCGGTCTGTTGCGCCCGCCACTGAAGTGCACCGAGTGCTCCCCGAAGCTGAGACATCTCGTCTTTGGTCAAAGGCTCATGCTCATTCTTGGTGGTGTAGGTGATCTGCTCAATGGCCTCACAATAGGCTGAGTGATCGAGAGTGAAGCTGCTGTCAGGCTCTTCACGAATGCGAATGCCACAGTGCAGGAAATTCTGGTGTTCCCATGGTGACCATCGAAACCTGCCGTGGAATGCCTGTAGTGCTTCAACCCATTGTTCACACTCTTCATTGCCGCTGATGATAAAATCATCAACGTGAGAGCAAATGTAGCCAGCCAGCTCTTTGGGTCGCTCGGGGTCGCCAGTCTCCATGTAGTAGAACCAGAGACATGGGTCACTGCGGCTCTGTGTGAAGTTCAGCTCAGCAAGAGTACGTCTGATGCACAAGTACCAGTTAGCAGGTGCGTTCACCAGGCCGTAGCAGGACTTGAGGACCTGGACCACCTCATTCTCCTTCATGTGGAGGGCTTCAGCCAGCTCTGGAACCGGGCGAGCATAGAGAGCTCTATCTGCTTCATCCGGGTCGCCTTGCAAGAAGGCTGACTTCACGTCCCCTTTGAGCAGGCGCCAGCGCATGATGCTGGAGTACTGAAGGGCCAACTGGCGTGTTCGTTTGGACATTGTCGGTGCTGAGCTCTGAATTGAGCCTAGGTCGGGGTCTTCAAACCCGATCAGCACTATTCTGCCTTTGGCTGCTCCATTCTCTTTGTAGGTCAACACCCACCGCATTCTCACTAGGCGATCTTTGGGATAGTCGCCTGTGATGCGCTTCACGGCTGAGGCGGTGAGCCATTGCTGCACCTCCAAGTGTTTTGCCTCCATGAATTTCTTCTTCTCGGTGGGATCAAGTTTGTGCCATTGGATTTCTGCTCCACGCACCTTCTTCACGAAGTAGTTGATGGGCGTTCGTCGCATCTTTCTCCACTCATTGGCTTTGCTTGGCAAGTCCAGGTAGAGAACGCAGGCGTAGTCAGCCAAATCCTCCATGGGCGTGGTCATAGTGTCACTGACCATCATCGCCTCATCTTCGCCTTGGTGTAGGCGTCGTTGCTTCTTGAAGATAGGCTGCTCAAAGAGTTCTGGAACAGTTCTGGGTTTTGGCACTGGCTCGGGTGTGTATCTTGGATCTCGTGCCAATCTGGACAGGCTGACCTGGGATGAACTGGTGCCAGATGGTTGTGGTGTGGCTGGTGCCTTGGACGCCGTTTCTGGTTTCACCTTTCTCTCATGCGTCTCTCCTGAACCTCTTCCGGGAGTTCTGGATCTCTGGGATGCTGTCGGAGTTGCTGGTTGCTGTTGCGGTGCTCTGGGAGTGCCTGGTGCCACGCCTGGTGATCCGGGGGTGCCGGGGTTCCGGCTTCTGGACCTGGCTCTTCGTTCCCGGGGTGGCCCCTGTGCATCCAGGTCTTCCGGAAAGACGTTCTTGTCCAAAATCTCATATTCACCCTTGTAGAGCGTCTTGGTGAGTCCATGGAAAGTCCATGAGGCCGTAGGTGAGTCTGCATGCTCTGCCAGGGTCTTTTCTCGTTCTGAGGCGTGCCGAAGTTGTTCAGGAGCACACCGTTTCAGCCTGCCGTGTGACACAATCCACACGATGTGGGAAGGCTTCCGTTCAGCACCATGAGCATCGGTCCTGGTTTCAGAGGCCAAGACACGGGCTGGACCATACCAGCGCCACAGCTTGTGAGCCATCCTGACTGATGCCTGTGGTTGAGCAGGAGGTTTGATTCTCTTGAAAAAGACTAGGTCACCAGGTAAGAAGATCTGGTGTCGGCGGGTCTTTGCATTGGCCGCTCGGGTGATCTGGTCGAAGGCCTGGTTCTTCATGAAGACATTCTGTGCCATCACTCGCTGTTTGAGGTTCACGGCCATAGCGCTTCCAGGAACACCTGAAGACGTCCAGAAAGGGAGGTCGGGCGACTTTTCATGGAAGCTTCCGCTCAAAGTAGGCATTCGTCCGAAGGCCCACTGGAAGGGAGTGAACCCCTCAATGCGTTCACCTTCATTGTGACTGCGGCATGCATGGATGATTGCTGACCATGCATCAAACTCTCCGGATTGGAGCAGCTGCTTGACGGTATTCTTCACCGTTTGAATCATCCTCTCAACCACGCTGATCTGCTGATGAGCTTCAGCAGCGCATGGCAAAACTTCAATGCCTCTCTCAGCAGCCCATTGCGCCAATTCTGAGGACTTGAAGGCGCCCTCAGGGTCCAGCCTGATGGCGGCTGGATTGCCATAGTGCCTGATCCAGGTCTCCTCAATGGCCTGCATAGCTTCAAAGCCTGTGCAGTTTCGGCTCACCGTTTTCTCATGCTGGAAGAGGTAGTGAGGGCAAACAAGGCGTGAGGCCTCGTCCATCATAATCATGCAATGGATGACCTGGTTGTCGACGGTCATCTCAGCATTGTCCAGAACCAGTGTTTCCCACAAAGTGTCGGACCGCTGAAGAGCTCCAGAAGGGTTCAACTCAGCTAGCCGAAGCTCTTGACATTCTGGACATTGATATTTCTTTGCCATCTCAATCACCTCATGGTGAGCTCCACGATGTTTGAGGCAACCAGATAGGGCATGATTGGAGGGATGCCCGGTGCGTCGGTGTAGCTTGGCCAGAGTCTGCATGGCCATCTTTCGTTCACTGTCGCTCAAAGGTTTCTCTAAGTTGAGCTCCTTCTCATCCTCCATCAGGGTGTCATCGAAGATGGGAAAGGACTCGGCAAAGGCTCCACCATCCAGAGAGTGGTTCATAGACTGGACCGTGCGAAAGATAGTCCGGCACATGGCTTCTGGATAGAAGCCCGAGTTTCGAGCATCTTGCCCACCAATGCATTCGGCATGCTCGTGGTTTCCAGGACATCGGCGAGTCAGCGCAGCTGCCATAGAGGGTGAAGTGCAAACCACCTTCCATGGTTTCTTCAAAGGCATACCCACTGCATTCTTCACGCCGAAGGCGCAGCCATGGATGTGGGCATGGTGCGTCTCCTTGAACTGGTTCATCAGATCATAGAGGACCTTGAGCTCGGGAAGTCGCCAGCCACCGTTGTTTTGAGGCCATTCCCAACATACATGTCCTCCTTCTTCAAGCTGTGTCTTCACCAGGCGAAGGGCATTGCGAGTGAGCTTCCGAGATCTCTTCTTCTTCAGAAGCAGTGCTGCTTCTTGCTCCGGAGTTGCCTGGTTGAAGATGTGCTGAATAGGAGAGTAAGGTCCGCAAGGAAGAGAGATCCACATCATCTTGGGTCTCAAGTCATGGATCATGGCGATGATCTCCTCAGTGTCCTTGGAGTTGGACAGGTCATGGGCCGGCAGGCCAACTCGGATCGCCTTGCGGTTGTTGTCCAGGAATGTCTGAGACAAGCGACTGTCAGGAGGGCAACACACTTCCATCAAGTCTACCTGAGACGACGTGTTGAAGAGCACTTCAAAGGTCTCCTCTGCCTCTTGTTGATAGTGGTCGGCTGAGGTCATGAGGCTTTCCTGCTGCAGTGGAGTCAGCTTTCCATAGATCTGGCCGAAGGGATCTTCAGTATCGTAGGTCTCGTCGGTGATGTGGTGTCTCACGGCTTTTCGGGAGATGGTGTCACTTTCTCCCACTCCGCTGTCTCCTGTTCCTCGGATTCCTGGACATTCTCTCTCTTGAGGGTCTTCTTGGGAGCTGAGGCATTGAGGACTACGTCCTGTTCCTGCTTGACCGCTTCCGGTCGAGCTCGTGCTTGTCGTTCTCGAGGACTTCCAGCTTCTTTCGAAGGGAAGCTTCTGCTCCAAGAGTGCTCGCCATCTTCATGTTCAGGTTCTCCCGGACTTCTGGTTTGTCCTTGATGTCGTCCTTCACCTGCTCCATGACGGTCGTCACATCTGGAGCAAGGGGTCCGGGCTGGCGATAACACCCTTTTGCACCGTACGCCGGCACGTACTCGATCCGGAGCCGACATAGAGTGCACACTGTCCATTTGCCATGGCCATTTCTGCCTGACAGGCTCCCACGCCCCTCGGGCATCGGAGTGTGGTTTCCATAGCAAGGAAATCCTTGTGCCCGGCTGTCCCGGCCGTCGGGACCTTCCCTGCGGCTCACGTCGTACTTCTCCGGTGTCGGCACCCTGGTGCCCTTCTTCTTCGTGGTCGTCTTTGGAACCGGAGTCGTGGCCAAAGCCTTGGTGGCTTCGCTGGACTGTGCCGCCATGGGGAAGCCAGGGAAGCGAGCTTGGAGTCGAAGAGCTTGGAGGAGAGGTTGTCGAAGAAAGCACGGTAGCAGCTACCACAAATGGCAAAGCGCACCGCATGCTTGAGCCTGAGTCCATCGGATTCGCATCATTCACGCAGGTGGCATTCTGTGACAAAAGAGAGCTTTGCAAAACAGACTCATGTGCTTCTTCGTGTGCAACTGCTGGCAAAACATGTTCAAATACTGCATGCGACTCTTCATGACAAACTCCATCAAAAACATCATGACTCATGCGCTCATGCCGATCGTGAAGAGGCTCTTGGAGTGTTGGTGGAGTGGTGTGAACATTCTCAAAAACATTCTTCTCACATGAGGTGGTGTCATCAGCAAGTGCGGCCTTGTACATCGGAGCGGGCTCAGAGTCGTGCAAGTCGTGCACCGTGAGACATGAATCTGGCCGGTCAGAGAGCCAGTCTTTGGTGAGGTCCAAAAGTAAATGGCCATTGGATGCTCGTTTCAGCTTGATCCAAACTGAAGGATCTACCTCCTTGAAACAGATCAGGCCTTCATCAAAATCTATCACAGCACGGAGGGTCGTCAGTGTCTTGACTGACAGCAACAAAGGAATGCCCGGTGCATCCAGGGCGTGAACGCCCAGCTTCACATGCTTTCCTGCCACTATCTGGGGAAGCTCTACAAAAGACACTGCGTTCTGGATGCTCCCGTTTCCAAAACGGAAACGTTTCTGTTGAGCATGCACTACAAAATGCTCAGGACCGTGGATCGAGGCTCGCAACTCCATGACCTCATGCATTGCCTCCAAGCTAGCGATCGATTCCGTCGCGCCGGAGTCCAGCACTGCGTGGCCAGGAAATTGGGCAGCCAAAGTCGCAAGAACATCTCCGGTGGGAAAGGTCACATCAGCAATCTCGTCAGCTTGCTCAGAACTGACCATGAACACCGCTGCAGCATAGAGAGATCGGGCCGGAGCTCCTGTGCTGGAAGAACTCTGTCTCTTGGGGCAGCGCCTAAAGTCGTGGTCCTGAGAACCACAAACAAAGCAACCTTTGTAGGTCGGACTGCCAGGCTTCTGCCCTGATGGAGCTCCTTTCGCCCCTCCAGCGTAGAGTGCAGCCGTGCTGGTGGCCAAAGAACTGTTGGGGGGGATTCTTGGTCTTAGACTTTCCTTTCCCTTTTCCTTTGGCTTGCATGAACTTACCCTTCATTTGACCAAGGGGGTAAAAACCTCTGGACAAATGTTTTGCTGAATTGAGTGCTCGGCTCTCCTTGAATGTTCGAAAGCGATCTTGAAAGGCCGCATAGGCCTCTTGCAGCGGATCTCCATCTGAGGTCGGAGCATCGCACATATCCAACCAGGTCTTGGTCTCTGACCAGGACCAAAAGATTCCTGCAGCATCCGAGGCATAGAAATCATCTTCATGCCATTCCCAACTCAGCTCTTGGCCATCAGGGAGCCAAGTCGACCAAGCACTGCTTTCATCAGCAGGAGCACTGTAAACATCAGGGGGAAGTCGTTCGCCAACCCAAAACACATTGTCATCAACATCTTCAATGTCAACTTCTGACAACAAGCCCCAATGTGCATCCTCTTCAACCCAAAACGATCGACGAGGTCGGGGCAAATCACCGCGACTGCGATGGGCCTCGGCGGCCAACAACTCCTCCTCCTGGTCACGCATAGCACGCTCCATAGATGCAAGGTCCAACCTGTTGTTTGTAGCGCTCAACACTGACAACCTAGCATTTGCTGGAAGGCCGCTCCTGCGCAAAAGGATCCAACCAAGGATCTCATCCGGTAAAATGCGCTCGGAGCCCAAATCAAATTGTTCCCACTCAATCACCGGATCCTCCTCTTCATCCTCCTCCCAAGCTGTCCATGACATGGCATCGTCTCGACGCCAATGGCGGTTTCTGCGCCGCCACGTGTCCCACTCCTCCTGGGTCCACCAATCATTGCCTGCATCGGAGCCAGGGTCTTGTGTGGGAACACGCTCATAGGCACCTCGGTCGGGCTCATCTGTCTCCCTTGGATCATCAGGCCTGTCGGTCTGGCCGTTTCCAGAATCGGTGGCCGGAAATCCAGGACTTGCGCTCTCAACTGAAGCTGTAGGGGCTTTGGGTGTAGTGACATCCGACTGTCGACGATGACCTGGGTTGGAGTGAGTCGAAAACATTGCACGCTCTCTCAACTGACCATCACGGTCTGCCAAGTCTTTTCGCTGTCGTGCCATAGCTCGCTGAAGTCGACGGTAACTTTCTCTCACCTGGGTTGCCCACTCTGCCATGGACGAACCAGGTGTTCGCCTCAGGCGAAGAAAGAAGTCTTCCAGCCTCTGGCCTGTATCCGGGACAGGTGCCTTGCACAAACGCTCTTCCAGAAAACGAAGCAAATATGCAGCACCATCACGCTTCTGCAACTGAGAATGATCGACCTCAGCGCTGACGATGTCCCATGCTCGGCCCGTGAGCCTCGAAGCAAGCTCTGCACCCAACAAGCACCTCCTCTTCTTCTCTGTTCGCTCAAACTGCAAGCGAACCCGTTTCACGTATTCCAGCCACGTGGTAGGGTCACCGTTCCACGTGGCCACTTGCTCCTTCTTCTCCATCATCGTTGCCATCTCACAATGTAAAAGGTTGAATTCAACAGTCCGTCAGGTCAAAGGCAAGGGAAAAGTCAACGGTCGTGGCTGACGTGCCTTCACACACAAATCAATGATCGATGTTCGATCTCCGGTTGGATTTGTGGTGGGCAGCAACGAAGGGACAAGGCCAAGTTGCTCTGCAAGAAAGTCCTGAACCTCCAGTCAGCCACCGACCCTGGCAACGGTGCCCCCAGTCCGAAGACCGGAGGCTCCGCTACCAGTGTCGGTAGCAGGGTAGCCTCTAGTGGAAAGAGCGAAACCCCAAGTACCAATGTATGGCAACCTCAACTGCCAATCAATGCAAGTGCAACCTGTAGCACCAACAAACCACAGAGGTACCGAAACCTCTGACAAAGCTGCGCACCAAGCCAGCTTTTCCTTCAAGCGCCGTAGCGTAGTCAAGCACACATGGCTTGCAAAGGAGATTCGGCAAAAGGGTCCCCTGGTAAGGCATTGGGCCAAGCGGAATGACGGAAAGCCAAAACATCAGTCAAGCTCACACAAAAAGGTTGGGTCAGGCTCAGAATTCGACA